CTCTCCCTCTCTGGGAGAGAGATCATCTATCAGCTGACTCCCCAAATGCCCACAACAGCCAGGGCTGGGCCAGGCTGGAATCAGGAGCTGGAAACTGCTTACAGGTCTCGCACGTGGTTAGCAGGGACCCAACTACTTGGGCCATCATTTGCTGCCTCCTAGCCACAATAGTAGAACACTAGAATGGAAGTAGAAAAGGGGTTTGACCCTAGGCATTCCAATATGGGATGCAGGTATACCAATCAGTGGCTCCACAATGCCTGCCCTCAAAAAAGAAAATTATAAATATATAATAATGTAAACAGAAACACACATAAAACAAGGTTATACACTGACAGTTGACAAAACTATGACCAGGGCCCTTTATGAACTTAACCCTGTATTTGGGGCTGGCTCCGTGGCTCACTTGGTTAATCCTCCACCTGAGGTGCCGGCATTCCATATGGGCACCAGGTTCTAGTCTCGGTTACTCCTCTTCCAGTCCAGCTCTCTGCTGTGGCCCAGGAAGGCAGTGGAGGATAGCCCAAGTGCTTGGGCCCTGCACCCACATGGGAGACCAGGAGGAAGCACCTGGCTCCTGGCTTCGGATTGGCGTAGCTCTGGCCGTGGCGGCCATTTGGGGGGTGAACCAATGGAAGGAAGACCTTTCTCTGTCTCTCTCACTCTGTCAAATTAAAAAAACAAAAAACAAAAAACAAAAAACAAAAAAACAAAAAACAAAAAACTGTATTTTCTCTAGGGGCAATGAATCAGTATTGACCAATACAGTGTTTGCACCAACTAGAGAGAATATATTTACCACTACTATCGTTAAATGTACTGACTCTACATGCCACAGGAGAGCCACCAAATATAGAGCACTTTATAGAATAAGAGGTCATTCCCCACAGCTCAAAATAGTTGAGAGTTCCTGAACTGGATAACTTCAAGGACTGGTGATGGTGTTGCTTCATAGGCTTACAGGCTAAAAATATGAGAATAACACAAAACACAAAGAAAACTATTACATCACCAAGGACAAAGATCAAGTGCTAACACAATAGGGTGCCTATACCCTAGGGGCATGCAAGGATGATTCACTGAGACAAGAGAATATATTCATCTATATTATTTTAATCTCATCCTGAAGTTCCAACTTATTTTAAAACTTCACAGTATAATTAATATGTGTAGAAAATTTATAAATTACACTGGCAGTGTCTGCTCCGATTCTGTTGATGGTATGCATGACCAAAAGATGCTGGGAGCCAATCCCTGTACAGGGTCAGTCAGTAGCTGGGGGAAAACAAATAACAAAAATCTATAGAGGCAGAAGTCCTATATGCATAAGGACTTCTAAGGAAAGCTAGTCTGCTTTTTTTAAAAGATTTATTTACTTATTTGAAAGGTAGAGTTAAAGAGATCTTTCATCCGCTGGTTCACCTATCAAAAGGCTGCAGTGACCAGGACTGTACCAGGCTGATGCCAGGAACCTGGAGCTTCTTCTAGGTCTCCTACATGGGTACTGGGGCCCAGGGACTTTGGGCCATCCTCCACTGCTTTCCCAGGTGCATTAGCAGGAAACTGGATGGGAGGTGGAGCAGCCAGGACTCGAACCAGTACCCTTTAGGGATGAAGGCTGTAGTTTAACCCACTGCACCACAGTATCAGCCCCCAAGCCGGTCTGCTCTTAACAAGCTGTCACATCAAATTCACATTATGAGAAATTTGCCAATTGTAACACTCATTGGATGATCTGAGCTAAGTGCCCTTCCTGCTCTGGCAATTTGAAATCCTCTGACTCAGAAAATAAAGTATAATAGCTGGTACATAAAACCACAGCTTTATGTTTCCTGGAGCCTCAGGGCTGAAGGCATGCCCTGATGGCGCAAGGAACAGACTAGCACGTCCCCAAATGCAGATTCTGCAAGTCCTGTAGGACGCCCTGCACTGTCAGTGCCACGCTACACAGTTAATCAGCTTCGTACACGCTTACCTGTACATGCTCACAAAACAACAACAGCAAAAGTGCTGGCAATTTGTCTATCTGTCTGCTGTTCCAGCCAAGGAGCGTGTTCAGTTCCCTGGGGACTGTCACAGTTCTCCAGTACCTCTTCCAATGTGAGTGGCTCAACATCAGGCTAACGTTTGGACACGTTACCCACTGGCATCACTTAATCCCAAAGCAAATACCTCATCTGGTGCTGAAGTGAAGAAGCAGGAATATGATTCAACGCAAAAGGAAAACTGGCTGCATTCGAATTCCCTGCAGATGGACAGTTGGTCTCCAAAGAACACCGACTTCCTAAGGATACTTGGAGGGCAATTTTTCTACAATCCTCCACTTTTACTGTAGAACCAAACACCCAAATAAGGTAAGACTTAACTATAGTTATTATGGGCCCAGAGTTCCATCCTGAATCTATCATAAAGAGTAGTATAAACTGAAAGTGTTACTATATACTTTTTATGGTACTTCATGTCAACTAAAGTGCTCTCCTGTCATTTTACACACACAGCAGCCAAGCAAAGAACAAAAAAGCCAAGCAGGACAAACACTTTGGTCTCCAGTGGAGAGGTTGGATGCAGTAATGGAAAAGAGTTTTTGAACACCACAATTTGGGTCAAATTCTAGGCATACTGTTCAACTTTTCACAGCCTTGGTTTCCTTGTCAGTAAAATGCAGGCAGTGCACACACCTCACAGTTTTTGAGGGTGAACCAAGGGTCGCATATGTGCACAGTATTCAATGTTTCCTTGTACCACTCCACGGGAAGCAGAGTGACAGGTCCACACACCTACTCTAATAAAGCGCAAGGGAGAACATCTTTCACATCCCAGCTCCACGCTCAAAGGATCAAGGATGCGACTCAGCATCTAGTTAAAAGGTGTTCAAAAGACTAGACCTTGTCATACTCTGCTAAAAGTTTTCGTTCATATACATCTGTGAAATACCACTTTCGCGAACTCACAAAGTGTGGGGGTGTGTACATATTGACACAGGTTCTCAGAAGTCATTCGATACAGAAATCTAATTGAACGTATTCAGATATTCCCTCCAAAAGTACATTTAATGGATTTTTTTTGCATAATTATCATGAACACCCAAAAACATGCAATGTTCTTCTAAGCATACCTATAGAAACACTGGTTTTGATAAGTTCATGTGTAGTAAGTTATAATTTAGACTAATAGATTACAGTGATAGGGCACAAGAAATTATCCCTTAAACAAAATCCCTGAGCCATTCTTTCGCAGCCTGTCTTGAATTTGCGTAGTCTGGTGACAAACTCAAAAACTCTGAGGCCACTAAGAAATTTTTGCTCTTCCATCTCAGGATACAATCGCCACAGGATTCCAAGAAGCAGAATACGTCCCCTGATAGACACCAGGCAGGGAAAAAGGTGGAGGAGGGGATTGTTTCACTACAAAATTCATTTGTCTAAGGTATCTTAATCCCCAAGTTTTCCAAGAAATATAAACATCTAAAGCCACAGCACTACCTCTCCTATCATTACCCGGGTTTGTTGACAGCAGAGAAGGCAACAGAACCAGAAAGGGCTACAAACCACAAGCCACAAACATGAGCATTCTTCCTTTCTCTGAAAACCAAGCAAGTTATTGTCACAGTCAACTAAAATAAAGTCAATTCAATTACCAGCATTTGGCCACCCTGAGATCTGCCACAAGGGTCTGTGATACAATTAAAAATTTTGGGAAACCGGGCCAGTGTTGTGGCACAGCAGGTTCAGATGCCGCCTGTGATGCCAGCATTCCATATGAGCACCAGTTCAAGTCCCAGCCACTCCACTTCCAATCCAGCTGGCTGTTAATGATGGGCCAAGTGCTTGGGCCCCTGCCACCCACTTGGGGGACTCGGATGGAGTCCCAGGCTCAGTCCAGCCCAGGCCATTGTGGCCATTTGGTGAGGGAACAAGCAGATGGATTTCTCTCTGTAACTCTGCCCTTCAAATAAATAAGTCTTACAAAAAAAGAAGAAAAAAGTTGGAGGGAAAATGATCAGCCAGATTTCTTCAGAACCCTTGTTAAGATGTCAGGGTAATGTAATTCATTTAAAAATTTGTAAGGGTTTGTTTATTTGGAGTCTCAAAAGTGTACACGGGTTTATTACAACCTACATAGAGAAAATCATTCCTTACGGGTAATTTTTAAAACTAACTTAAAATCTAAACAGAATTTAAGACTCAGGCTGCTTATTTTTTTTTGGAAGACAGGGTTCTCATACCTTCATACTTCGTAAACAATAATTCTTTGATTATTGTACACAAGCATCCCTAATTAACAGTTGCATCTGAGATGAATTCTTAAGCTTCTGGAAGTTAAATAAAGAAAAGCCGAGGCCCCAGGAACTCTTACAGATATTGCACCAGACAGACGTGGAAGCAAGCAGCCGGCTATCACGCGGAGCCGTAGGCTTGCGAACTGGGCGTAGACCGCTGTTGGTTAACAGGGACACCCCAGGCGGGATGTGATCACAGGCGCTTCAAGCTTCCATGGCCAGCTAAGGATGAACGGAATCTGCAAGTGTCCTACAGCGCAGTAAGTCAGCACCAGGGACCACACAGCCCAGTCGAGTCAGAGAACGGTGTGCGGTTGTCGGCCGCTAACAGCATGGGTGGGAAGGGGCATACAGCAGCCATTACCGCCCAAGAAAAGTCACCAGGACACTCCGGGCTTTCCATTCGGGGGGACAAGAAGCCTTCAGGACCAACACATCGAGGTCACCGCCTCCCCGGGCTCGGCCGAGCACAAGGCGGGCGCTCACCTGCCGGCCACCCCGACCGACCCGCCCATCCCATCGCTGCCCACCCATGTGCATCTAATCCGGAGCAAGGACAGCGGAGGGAGAAGATGGTGCCGTGAGAGGCGCCCGCAACCTCCCCATTCCGCAGGGGACGCAGCCACACCGCCTCTCCTGAGCCTCCGCAAGGTCTGCAACACTTAAAAAATAAATAAATAAATAAGCACAGTTAACTTCCCCGCTCCCTTCCGCCCCTCACCTTCACGAAAGAAATCGGGGTTGTGGTACCTTCGATATCTAACAGGATCACAGTGACTTCGGCGGGCACCGAAAGCACGACCATTTCCCTACCGGATGCTATTTCGGGGATCGGCCTACGGGTACCAAAGGCCGAGGGCGGCGTCGGCGGCGCCCCCAGGACCGTCTTGGGCTCCCCAACAGCCCGGCTACCACCTCGGAGCCGGCGACCGCGCGCGGCCTGAAGCGCGTAGCGGAGAGGCCACCTCGGCGAACCTGGAAGTGCGAGACAGCGCGGCCCTCCAGAGGCCCGAAACTCGCGAGCTGCGCGGGGCGGGAGCTCCACACCACGTGGGCAGAGGGAGGGGGCGGGTCCTGGCCGTGTCCCGCCCCCCCAGGAGGGCGGGGCAGGCGCCGGCGCCAGCGCCAGCGCCGATTGGCCACGAAGGCGGCCCGTCAAACTGGGCCTCGCGTGGGCGGGAACAAAGAAGCGAACGCGGGAGCCGGGCACGCGGGTACGCGCCTTCCGCAGACGGGTTGAGCAAGCGGGGAGAGGCCTGGGGCACGTGCAGACGGGAGGCCCGCGAGGGGCGCGCCGGGGATGTGAGTGCCCCTTGCCCTCTACGGCACCTAGCCTCCACCCCCACCCCGCCCACTGCCTCCGCTTTTGCATATTGACAGCATCCCGACCGGGCCTCCCGCCCCGCCTCCCGCCCCGGCACGCGGAGGAGGCCGTCCGGGGCCTCGGCTGCGGCCGAGCCGCGCTGGGGGGCCCGCCGCGCCCCCTCGCCTCGCGCGCCCGAGCTCCTAGCGGAAGAGACGCCCGCGCCGCGCCGCTGCGCCCGCTTCCTGTTCGGCTGGTTCCAGCCAGCTCGAGGACAAAACACGCGTGCGCGCGGACGGGCGGGCGAGCGCTCGCCGCTTCAGCCGCCAGCGCCGGAGCAGCCGGGCCGCGGTGCTAGCCGACAGGAGCAGCCGTCGCAGCAGCTCCGCTCTGAGGGACCGAGGGCGGCCCAAGGCAGTGTTGGCGGCTCTTTGCTAGCAGTGGGCCGGACCGGACGCCAGAGACAAAGGCTCTCAAGGCAAGAGGGACTGTGGTCCTGCGACAGCGCCGCTCGGGATTTCTGGCCCCTGGACGCTCTCCTCTCCTCCCAGGCCCGCGACCCCTCGCTCCTCACCGGGAGGGCCGCGATGGAGGTCCCGCCCCGGCTCTCCCATGCGCCGCCGCCATTGTTCCCCTCCGCGCCCGCTACTTTAGCCTCCCGCAGCCTCTCCCATTGGCGGCCGCGGGCCCCGCGGCAGCTCGCCCCGCTGCTCCCGTCGCTCGCTGCCAGCTCCGCCCGGCAGGGGGCGCGCCGGAGCCAGCGCCACGTCACCGCGCAGCAGCCCTCCCGATTGGCGGGCGGGGCGGCTATAAAGGGAGGGCGCAGGCGGCGCCCGGATCTCTTCCGCCGCCATTTTAAATCCAGCTCCATACAACGCTCCGCCGCCGCGACCCGCACCGCGCGCCAGCACCCCCCTGCCGACCGCTCCGCCGCCATGGAGGATATGAACGAGTACAGCAACATAGAGGAGTTCGCGGAGGGATCCAAGATCAACGCGAGCAAGAATCAGCAGGATGACGGGTACCGCACGCCTCTCCCCTCTCCCCCTCCCCCAGCGCGTCGCACGCGCCCTTCGGCCCTCGGGAGCCGCGCGCTGGCCCGGTTCTTGCCAGGAGGCGACCCCCCGCGTGCCCGCTGGGCCCTGCTAGCTTGGAGGGAAGAGGAAAGTAAGAGCCGGCGGGGGAGACTCGAGAGGCCCGCGGAGGGTGGGGGAAGGGCGGAGGGGTTAGAGGAGGAGGGCGGCAGCGTCTGTGTCCCGAGTGCGCAGGCGCCGCGTGGGGCTGGGGGGAGGGGCCGGCCTGGCTGCGCCACATGCTGCAGCTGCCGCCGCCTCTTCATTGTGTGCGCGTGTGTGTGTTTGTGTCCGCTCCTGCGCCTGGGATTCCTGGGGCGACTTTGGGGAACTCCTGGTTTGGGCACCAGCGGGCAGCTGGTCCCCTGGTCCCCAGGATGCGCTATGACAAGTTCCCTACGTGGAACGTTGGCTGGACATCTGAGGAGGAGGGTGGGACCTGGATGCATGAGATTGTTTAGAAAGTTGAGATTTCTAACCGGCGGCGATCTGGACGGGACCTTTGGCTTCTTGCACTGGCTCCTTTCAAGCTTGGCGTTACACAAAGCATGAGAACCGTTTGTCCATACTGTTCTGGGTGGGATTTTGTGATTTTTTTTTTTTTTTTTTTGCGGTCTGTTCGTGCATGTCTGTAAACGTAGGTTGAATTGCGTGCACTTAATTGGATGAATTTAATCTGGTAATTGGGCCGAAGTCGTCATTTGGGTTACTACTAAACACTGTAAAAATAACTTTTGTTTTTAGTAAAATGTTTATTGGAGGCTTGAGCTGGGATACGAGCAAAAAAGATCTGACTGAATATTTGTCTCGATTTGGAGAAGTTGTAGACTGTACAATTAAAACAGATCCGGTCACGGGAAGATCAAGAGGATTTGGATTTGTGCTTTTCAAAGATGCTGCTAGTGTTGATAAGGTAGGGATGTGTTTCCCAGTGTATGAGTGTGTGTTGGCAGGTGGTCCTGGGCTTTGGCTATGGCTGTCATGTGTAATTTTGTTTTTTCTAGGTTTTGGAACTGAAAGAACACAAACTGGATGGCAAATTGATAGACCCGAAAAGGGCCAAAGCTTTAAAAGGGAAAGAACCCCCTAAAAAGGTTTTTGTGGGTGGATTGAGTCCAGATACTTCTGAAGAGCAAATTAAAGAATATTTTGGAGCCTTTGGAGAGGTGCGCTGTGATTATGTTTCCATAAGTCTTGGGTTTATAAGAATGTTCATCCCTGGTCCAGTTTGTGGAAGGCAAGTCGTCTTTCACAAGGGTAGGGTTAGGTTGCTGGTTAAGTCACTTCAGTGACCGCAGCTTAACCGCATCTTTCTCTGCCGCCATGGAAACCAGCCTCAAATTTGTTTCTGCTCAAAACCTACTTCTTTTAAGAGTGCTGAGTGTTCTGACCTAATGACTAGAGACGGCTCCCGGGTACAAAGTGTGGTGAGTAAAGGATGTGTTAACTCTCAGCATCAAGTCATTCGATATTGGTGTTGACAGTAAAACTGTGGTGTCTGCACGGAAGTCATCTGCTTAGAGTAACGTGTTGAAGCGTGAAAAGCACCTGTGGCATTCTGAAACTCTGGTAGCTTCGTTTCATTACTGCATGATCTTGAGTGTGCATCTGGATTTCAGATTGAAAACATTGAACTTCCCATGGATACAAAAACAAATGAAAGAAGAGGGTTTTGCTTTATCACATACACAGATGAAGAGCCAGTAAAGAAATTGTTGGAAAGCAGATACCATCAAATTGGTTCTGGGAAGGTAAACCCATTTAGTTACATTACATGAGAAATTTGGGGGGGATTTTTACTGAAATAGTGTTTCAGTCTCTTAGAAGAAGAATGAAGTCGTTTAATATTTAAAAAGAAAACTTCTATCAAGTGTTTATGTGTTTTTATTTGTTTATAGTGTGAAATCAAAGTTGCACAACCTAAAGAAGTATATAGGCAGCAACAGCAACAACAGAAAGGAGGACGAGGTGCTGCAGCTGGTGGCCGAGGTGGTACTAGGGGTCGTGGCCGAGGTGAGCCTTAATTCTTGAAGTAACTGCATGGGAGCAGCTGCATACTGTCAAGTGTAGGGTAAGCCCTTAAAGAGGAAAGGCTAAGTTTAAAGCTGTCCTAGTATGGAAACTGCTCAGCTGTGTGGGGGGGAGGGGTTAGTAACAAGCCAATTGTTTTCACCTGAAGCAGTGAATGGCCACTGACAGTGTCATCACAGATAGGGAGGCAATGCTGTTGACGTCGTGTGGCTGGTCTGGTTGCCTTTGTTGGGCTGGAGGCCTCGATTTAACCAGAACAGCCTAATAGTCTATAATTGTATGGGAAAAAATGTAATGATTTCCAGTGACATTTGGGAACCTTGATACTGGCACAGTTGGACTTTCTGCTTCCTTGTTAATTTTACAAGTTAAAAAAACTCTTGGAGCAGATAGCTCTGTATCCATTGTCATTTAAGATTGCAGAGTGAGGAACAGAAACACATCGTTTTATGTTAGGACTTGGGGTCAGAAGTTGTTTCCTAACAATCATTGTGCATTGTTTCAGGTCAGGGCCAAAACTGGAACCAAGGATTTAATAACTATTATGATCAAGGATATGGAAATTACAATAGTGCCTATGGTGGTGATCAAAACTATAGTGGCTATGGCGGATATGATTATACTGGGTATAACTATGGGAACTATGGATATGGACAGGGATATGCAGACTACAGTGGTAAGAACATTTAACTTAATTTCATAAACCAAGCATACAATCCCATTCTGAAAGTGTGTGTCTTTGGATTTTCCATTTATTGACATGCTTGGAGTTATTTTGAAGCATGTTATAGGGTGATTATGCTGATGCTGGTTACAAGAGTACTAGGGTGTGTAATTTATAGCTATTTTATTAATGACAAGTTAACTTAATATGTTGTTCAGCATGCAAAGTATTAAATGGTGTTAGGTTTTTTTTTTAAATGTTTGTAAAGAAACCAAGTCATAGAAAACTGCTTAATAGAATTTGTTTTTTCAAAATAGGTCAACAGAGCACTTATGGCAAGGCATCTCGAGGGGGTGGCAATCACCAAAATAATTACCAGCCATACTAAAGGAGGACTCTGGAGAAAACAGGTGTGTATAAGAGTGCAAGAACCCAGTGAAAAATGTCTAAATTTAATTTAAAGATCAATAGACAAATGGAAAATAAGTAAAAACAATATTATGTAGCTGTTTTTACTAAATTGTTAATTTTTAATCACTTTATGAGCCTGTTTTGCCTAAAGTGTCTATAGATCTTTAACTTTAAAGTCTTACCTCACCTTCTTTAGTATTACAGAAAAACTTAAGAGTTTTTCTGTTTGCTTTGTGTACCAGGTGGTCTAGAGGAATAATTAAACTTTTTAGAACTATTAACAGGTAAAGTACTGAAATGGGTACAACTTAAGGAAAACAAGAATGTTGTCTTCTAACTCTGACATTATACCTTGTTTGTACCCGCCAGCGGGAACTTCATTGCAGGCCGTGTGTCACCCTGACCACGTCTATCTCTGGGGGTCGCACGTTGCGGGCAGAGCGCAAGGCATACACCAGAAAACGCTGTCCTGTGGTATGGTCTCTTCCAACTTCATGTACCAGCGTAAAGATTAAAGTGGAAAACTTCAGACTTTGGCTTCTTTTTTAATCTTTTTGGAGATTAAGTGTCTAAACTTAACTTAAATGGTTTTTTACAGGAGTTAAAGTACATAAATGCCTTTTTACAGCTTAATCATTTTGGTCTTCTGTTTAGTGTTGTATTTCAATTGTGGAGCCTCATTTTAAGTGTTCATTCTTTAAGATTTAATGCTTGCTTTTTCTTTTTATAGCTAATAGTGAAATCTACAAACCAAAACAAGAACTTTTAAATCTGGGATATAAATTAAAGATCATATGCACAAAAGCAATTCATTTTCTTGTAATACAATGCCCCATCCGAAATTCTTATTTGTGACAGCATTTTGTTTGGCTTACTAGAGATATTTCTAGTGGGCTTTAATCTGTTCAACCCACAAAGATGGGAGGCTTGCATTCCCAGGTTGTCTACTGAATAGATGCGAATTTATTATCATTTGGGAACTCCAGGGTGAGTTAATTACCCAAACTGTATTTTGACAATAAATATGCATGTGATCTTTAA